AAAAAAAAAAAAAAAAAAAACTAAATCCATATGTCCAAAAACCTTGTGAAAACCTTAATAAATAAGTAGCAGGGAAATTTAAATTAAAGCAACAGTGACATATCACCTTATTCTCGTCAACATGGCAGAATTTAAGAAAACTATTGCTACCAGAAATATGCAAAGAAGAAGGTAATTTTATGCATTTCAGCTAGTAATATGAATAGTTAATGCTTTCGTTGAAAACAATCTTACAATGGCTGTAAAAATCAAGATTGAATATGCTCTATCCCAGGAGTTACACTGTTGGGAATCTATTTCATAGAAACAAAAATGAAAATACCAGTAAATAAAATTATATACACATGGATGCTTGTTGCCAAATTGGTATATAGTGAAAAAATAAGAAAAATAACATATCAGAGTATCACTAGTGGACTTGGAGGGTTTATCCTGTGCATTGTTGAGTGAGAATAAAGTGTGGGATAAAGAAAAGAAAGTGTGATTTGATTCAATATTTGCAAAAGAAGGACACACCTCCCTATATTTGCAGGTATTATAATCATAGGTATGAATATTCATAGGTACGTGTGTGTTTTATGTAACTATATATGAACATGAAAAAATTGTAAAAGGATATGTCCTAGGCTATTTACACGGGACGTTGTTCACCGGGCAGAAGATAAGAAGAAAACAAAGAGGAGGGTCAAAAAAAGTTGTAACAGGGCAGCCCCAGTGGCTCAAAGGAGTAGGGCACTGGTCCCATATACCGGAGGTGGTGGGTTCAAAACCAGCCTCAGACAAAAACTGCAAAAAAATAAAAAGTTGCAACTAAAAAGCCAATGACAAACCTGCAAGTGTTGGAGAGTGAGCATGGAGGAGGTGGTTAGGTGAAGGCGTGTGTCTGGTGGTGGCTGATGGGAAGGAGGATTCCATTTATATAATTGTGTAAAATTATGTACACGTGCATATTTATAGATTTTTTTTAATGCAATGAAATATAATGAATCTGGCCGTTCTATAAAATGTCTCAGCAGCACCTTCATTACATCACCAGTGGTTTCATTAACTGGTCATTCTAGCTCATCACGCCATTCTTCTCCTGAATACGAATAAAGAAAAGCTAAGCGTTCAGCCTAATCATTTTTATTTTTTAATTTACGAAAGGTAAGGTGCCTTGAGCAGTAACCTCCTGGAGATAGCATTATACACTGGAAATAATCTAGACTTCGAAGCCAAACTTACTGAGGCTCAAAACTCAGCCCACTCACTAATTAATTGTCTACCCTGGGATAAGGTGCTTAATACACGTATTTCTTGCCTTCAGCGTATCCATCTGTAAAATGGGGAGAAGGAAACCTACCCTGAAGGACTGTGCTAGAGACTGAGTTATGTAACGTGCAGGAGCAGGACTCAGAAGGTTGCACATAAAATATATCAACATAAGCTACAGACCCGGACAGGTGGGGGGCCAGGAAAATCATGTCGTGCTGGATTTAATGGATATTTTTGATGTGGAAGCCATTTGAAAAATGATTATGCACAATTAGTTGCCTTCATTTCCTGTAACACCAAGGTGCAGGAAATCATCTCGGAATTGTCTGCGCAGGACTCAGGTTTGCCCAGTGGGATCTCTGCTCACCCTGGTTGGCTTGCCCAGTCTGTTCCGAGTTGTTTTCATATATTGTACAGATGGAACATGCTTTCAGATACACCAAGTTGTCCTCTACAAAGGAAGAATTTATGAAGTCCTGTGGTTTTCATTTCATGAAAAGTGGATGTAATTTTTTTTACATCATTCAGCTAAGATTATAGGTGCTTTTCCCTAATAGAATTTTCTTCTTATGTATTGGCCTCATTTCTAAGAAAATAGGTTTACTTGTACACTAAATCCATCCAGACAAACTGAAGGTCTAGCTACGGAGGAGCCAGATAAATAAGATAGCACTGAATTTAGTGGATATTTTTAACATAGAAAGCCCTGTGGAACATGATTATTCACAATTCATTTTTGAAAGAAAACTTACGGATTGAATTAAGCTTCAAACTGGGAAAACTAACATTTGTAAACATTGAAAAAGATTACTGCCAAGTTTAACTTTTCTGAACATTGGGATAAATTCAGCGGAGTCTTCACGTAGATAGCTCATTTGATGTTAATCTATTCTAGGATATTTAAAATTTTTGTTGTAATTTATAATCCAGACACCTTTCATATGTTTCATTTTTCCATTTACAAAACAGGATTCACTTGTGAATTCCTTAGAACAATTTTAATAGTGATCTTCTAGGGTCTTTTAAATTACTCTATTAAAAGTCATCAGATAATCCAGTACCTTTCTGTTCTTCCGATTATAATTTTCCTATGCCCCTATGGCTCCTAATCTGTAAAAGCTCCTTCTTCATATTTTTCTAATAACCTTATACTGTTTCAAATATTTTTAAGCATCTCCTATAGAGCAACATTGACTGAGCCAACGAATCTGATAAGGCAAAATTTAAAACAAATATTTTCCATAAAAACTAACTGGGACAGTTCACAAAAATCTTTATTTCCTCTGTTCATTGTACCATTTTGGTGATAAATTTGGTCTACTCTGAATGGCCCTATATGAGTAGAAAAGGCTGGTTAGCTCAGATTGCTACCTTCACCACATCTGAATTGCCTTCTTTATATAAAGGAACTCTTCTTTATTCCTGTACTGTATTTCATTCTACATGTCAAGCCTTCTGTAAGGTATTTTTGGTTGCTTTTCAATGACTCTCTGGTCTCCTTTTAGAAAGAAGCTCTAACATTCAACTTTCAGAATAGGATCCATGTACCGTTCTATTATTCTTTTTATTTACATGATTTTCTTTCTGTGATGTTTTTCACCTTCTAAAATTACCCCTCCTTATTATGACCGGGAAAACCACATACAGCAAAGACGTGATGAAAATGCCAATCATCACATCACTTTTCTCATGGTCTCATAAGATTACCAAATGGACTCTTCTTCTTGTTCACACAAATGAACACAAACCCATAAATGGAAAAAAAAAAAGGTAGTTTTTGGTTGGTTGGTGATTCTATTTTCAGAATAGTAGAATAATATCCTCATTTCCTCCCAGCTTGTTTTTGTTTCTTCTCACTTCATACATCGTGAATAACCCTACCTATCAGTGGATATTTATCTATGTTTCCCCTGTTTTGATGCCCACACGTTTTAACAGAAATATATACAAATACTGCTAGCTGGTTTAATATTTTTTGATAGCATTTCTTCTTTTTGTTGAGATTTATGTCTTTAATTGGCAATTTCCTAGCCTATCTTTCTCCCTTTAGTGTTTTACCCAGCTTTGTTAAGATACAATTGACAAATAAGATATACACGTAAGGTGTACAATGTGATACTTTGATATGTATGTGCTTTGAAAAATTATAACCGTAATCATACTAATTAGCATATATGTCATTTCCCATAGTTGTCTTTGTGTGCGTGGCGAGAATACTTAAAATATACTCTCTTAGCAAATTTTTAAGTACATTATGATATTAACCATAGTCACCAGGCTGTACACTTCTCTCTTAATCTTTAAACTGATCCTGTCTCTTTTTTTGGTCACCACCTTTGGGAAATGATGGGCACGCCTAATATTTGAACCATCATGCCAAAGATCCCTCATTTCTTTCCACAGTGTCTCATCGTCCAAATTCCCAGTTAATGTGAAATGCTGGATAGTAATTAAATCAGGCAAGAAGTGAAACCATGTTTCCCAGATTTTAATACGACTGGCCTGTTACTCCTCAGATATTATAAGTGCTTGAAGGAAATCTCAGAGGTGAAACCCGAGTGAGCTACTAAGATAACGAGAAGTTCTGATAGCTTGAATCCCCATATACTTCTCAAGCTGCTTGACGTGGAGGTCATGGTCTATGTGATTTTTCCCCAAGGAATGTCATGCTCGTGAATTATACATAGGGTTGGCTCAGATCAGTGAAAGGATAACCTATGGGAATACTAAGTCTAAGAAAATGGTTTGACCTCACAAAATATTTATATTTTCTGTAGGCGTTTGGAACAATTTTTCCTCAAGTTTTGTCTCCCATCTTCACATATGCTAAATCTAGGCACCTGCCATTGCCAGGGGTGTGGTGCTGGAGCAGTTAGCCCTCTTCAGCAATTGCTTCAGCCAGGAGAGCCCTTGACCATGGCCAGCCCCTTGCAGGTTTCCAGACCCAGCCTTTGCTGACACAGGGCAGCTTTAAAGGGTCATTTGATGTTCAGAAC